TCTGGAGTCCCCGATTCAGTCACCTACGATGAAATATGGGAAGGTTAAAAGTGAATATACACAGCCAAGTATGTTACCAGGTTCAGAAAACAATGAGAATTAGCATAAGCAACCATAGAAAAACAAAATGAAGCAACAAGGTTCTGATGATTCTTCTTGTTTCTTAAAATTTAGTAAGTCCTTTTTTCCATACAATATATATATATCTATATATATGTAAACTAAGTCTCATCTACTATAACCTTATACAAACTATACCTTTAACTATCAGTACTATTACCTCTTTGGAAGATGGACTGAAACCTTCTGCAGCTGGAGCCAACGGGCCTGCAGCATGGACAACACACTCAATCAAAGACTAAGTACAACAAAGTCAGAAAAAAAATAATATCTTCACTAATACTATTAAAAAAACCCAATAGGAAAAATGCTCTTAACAACAAACTCCATCCGTACAACTCAAGGAAAAAAGAAATCAAGCTTCCAGCACAAAATCTTGCAAAAAGAACCAAAGATTATCAAGAATCATATATGTTTAATGATTCATCAAATAAATGAACTAGCAATTTATTCAAATTCACCTGTCTTTGCTCTGCTAGTTTATTTCGTAAATCTTGGACTAAGTTACACACAGTTGGAACAAACAATTGCAAAAAAAAAAAAAAAGAAAAAGAAACTAAAGATACACTCATTAGAAAGTAATAATGACAAAGTTACCAAATCTATCGCGAAGAATCAGAAACATAAGAAAACCCTAGAGAGAGAAAGAAAGAAATCACCTGGAATCTGTGCGGCAATTGAAAGGGAGGTTGAAGATGGAGGGTTGGCGATGTGAAGCGATCCGAAAGAGATATCGCGGCGGTGGTTAGGGGAGAGAGGGGTGGAGGGAGGAGATAGAAAATGGTCGTTTCCATTAGCAGGATGGGGATTTTTAGAGAGATCAGCAGAGGAAGAAGACGAAGTGGGGAGTTGGGTACGAGAGGGCAAGATGGACATGAAAATTCCTGAAGTGAGAGGGAGTTGGGTGGGTTCGCGTTCAGCCTCGAACAAAATGGGGGTCGATATTTGGGGGGGGGG